CTACGATTGTTGAATAATCTGAATATAATCACATTGTAGATAGCCTCCTATGAAAACAAAAGAACAGAAAACATATTCAAAGCTATGCATTAAAATTCAGGTGGAAAAACTGTTGCAGCCTCTCTGCTTCAAGCCAAAACAACGTTCACCACCAGTTTCCTTAAGTGGTATTTCAAAGATTGTTTTTTTAAATAAAAGGACATAATGAATAGTTACACATAGTTTTATACTTTATAATACTTAAGTATATTATAGTCTTTTCTTGAATCACTTTAAATTTTATTCCTGTTGCAACATCTGCACGGGTACCCTGGGGATTACAACTGGCCTCTTAAATTTCTAACTAGCTTCAACAGTATACAAAAATTGCTTCTATACAGTTCTGTCCCTCCCTTTTATGTTGTTACTGCCACAAATTGCATCTTTATACATCTTTATGATTTCCTACCTCATTTTTATTTTGAATCACGTTCTGAGTAGAACCTCAATGTACCTTTTATTTAAAGAAAGTTTGTTTGTTTTTTAAAGATTGGCCCTGAGCTGACATCCGTTGCCAATCTTCCTCTTTTTTTTTTTCCCTTATTCCCCCAAAGCCCCCCGGTACATAGTTGTATATTCTAGTTGTAGGTCCTTCTAGTTCTACTATGTGGGATGTGGCCTCAGCAAGGCTTGATGAGCGGCACTAGATCTATGCCCAGGATCTGAACCAGCAAAACCCTGGGCCACTGAAGGGGAGCATGGGAACTTAACCACTCAGCCATGGGGACCGCCACAATGTGCCTTTTTAATATCTGCTCCAGGTGATCTTTATGTATAAGACCACTGAGAACCTCCCACTGAAGTGGAGATGCGGGTACAAAGGAGGTGTAGTTGTGGGATCTGGGAAGAAAGTAAGGTTTGCAATGACAGTAAGACAAAAAGAGATCTTGCAAAGCTACAACATGGCAAACTCAAGGTTAAAATAACAGACTAGTAGTGTTACTCTGCAACGCATCATCTATCACATGTTAAAACATTGAAAAGTACACATATCGCTTCCAATCAAATAGATATCAGCATATTATAAAAATTATTAAATGTGCTATTAAGACATCAGAAATTCCCTAGAAGCAAATTCTTTATCATTTTTCTGCCTCCAGTCAATTCTTACCAACACCACACAATCACTCGTTCCAGCTCTCCTTATGTGCAGCTTTTAGAAAGCGCAGAAGGCAAAGCAGTGGGAAAGACGTTTTCTTTCTGGAGGTATATCATTCTCTGATATGTATCCAGAGGCCTTCCTCAAGCTCTGTTGAGCCCTGACCTCTGCAGAGAATCACTGCTCTAGTCCAATCTTTTCATTTTATAGATGAGAAAACTGAGGTTCAAAGGAACAAACTTGCCCAAGATTAGCATGGTAGGGCTGAATTAAAACATATTTCCTGAGCTAGCTCTGATGACCTAGCAGTTAAACTTTGGCGTGCTCTACTTCGGCAGCCTGGGTTCAGTTCCTGGGCACAGAACCACACCACTCATTCGTCAGTAGCCAGGCTGTGGCACTGGCTCACATAGAAGAACCAGAAGGACCTACAACTAGAATATACAACTATGTACTGGGGCTTTGGGGAGGAAACAAAAAACAAAAAGAGAGGAAGACTGGCAACAGATATTAGCTTAGGGAAAGTCTTTCCCAGTGGAAAAAAAAAGTACATGTATTTCCTGACTTCTGTCCACTCTATCACATTTCTATTAGAATAACAAGAGGACCTTGAGTTTCCTAATGTCATTTTTACAAACAGTCCCATCATATTCTTTTAAAAAACTAAAATGTGCAGATGCCTACATTTCCTCCTAGCTGCCACTAATGATTTTTATATTATTAATAGCAAAAAAAAAAAAAAAATACCTTGGTTGCTGGCCAAAAAAAATTCCAGGACAAATGGTAGGCACAAAAGGAAGCAACAGGATTTTTAAGTCCAAGGCCAGAGGGTGAGGTTGCTCTTCCTCATCACAAATTTCTGTCTTATTATGTAAATTCATTAAGTTTAGAATACTGTTAAGTACAATCCTTTTAGGGAAAGACCTAAATTAATTACTCAAGGCAAATGGCAATACTAACCCCATGTAATTGTAACAGTTACTAAATACTGTCATTCTCTCACATGGGGTAGAAGGAAAATAAAGATACTTCCTAGCAAAAACAATACACACAGAAGTCAGGAAACAGTTTCTAATTTGATCACACCAAGGGTATATCCAAAATAAAAAATACCACTCTGAAACAAAGATTACTTGTAACTCCAGAACACTTTAATTTTAAAGGGCTTTGATAAATAAAAAGCCCCACAGTTTCCAAAGGTCCATCAAAAAGGAATGAATTACCAGTCCCATCAGAGCTGTGGAAAAGTTTTTAAAAAAGGAGGGGGAGGGATGAAGGATGATAACCATTCTCTTTCAAAAAGATAAAGACAAAACACAACCACTAGAATGTCACTTGATATGAAGAGGCAGGAGAAAAATAACTGTCCATACTTGCCTTATACACAGTATTGGGCAATTAAACGCCAACTTAGCTACTTAGGAATGACTTGCTAAAACGTTGAAAAAATGAAAGACTTCATCCTTGTCGTAGACTGCCACTTCAGTGGCACACTCGGTGCACACAACTGGGTGATAGATTTCCTCCACTTCCGTCTCTGCCTGCTCTGCAGCATCTTCACGGTTGGTCCTCATCTTCTTATGGCCTCGCCTCTTCTTCCTGTTCTCTGGGGTTTTGTATCTTAGAACCTCCTCTTTGTTGACAGAACAATTCATCACAAACATTGCTCTATATTGAGTTTTGTACGATTCATGTCTAAGAAGAAAATGAAATGGAGAATTTCAATTTATGTTCTGTTTTAATAATTATCCATTTAGATAAAATTTGAGAACACCGAAAACTGAAATACCAACCAAAGTAAAGACACAAGAACAAAATAGGAAAGGTAAAGAAATTTAAGAGCTATTTTAAGAATAGGAAGAAACTTGTTAATAAATGATAGTATAAAGAATGAATATATCTTCCTTTCTACTGCCTTAAAAGTAACTTTTCTCTCAGAAAAAATTGATTTGCTTCTCAAATTGAGAACAAGAAAAGCTGCAGAAAAACTTGAGAGGTGACGTTTAAATAATCTTTGTGTCTTTTCCCGTTGTGGCCTGAGACTCTGCCCACCTCTCATTCCAGATGGTACCATCTGGTTACCATTTTAGTAAAAGCTACTTTTAATAGGTTAAAGAGCTTCTGACCTCATAATGCCCACTCTTGGCCTTATTCCTGCAGTCTAATGAACAGACAATGCTTCCTTTGTTCTCCTCATATACTTAATAGTTTCCTACATCTTTCTCCACTTAGCAAGCTGCTTTTCTTTTTTTTCCCCTTGAACTTCATGTAACAGAAATACCTGTCTGGCTAAGAACAATGAACTCAAGTTATGCACTCGTTAGTTACAAATGTTGATCTCTACCACCACCGCATCACCCCCC